TAATAATAATAATAATATAATAATAATGTAATATATAATAATATAATAATAATTAGTAATAATAATATTATTATATAATAGTAATAATGCAATAATTATTACAAATAAAAATTAATAAAAGTAAAAACTTGTTAAAGAACTAACAACAATATTAAAATATAAGTTTACTATTATTGTAACTACTATTGTTCTATTATAAATAATTATTTTTTTATTCAATTTTTTTTACATCTTTTAATTTATCTTTGCTTATTTTTATTTATCACTCTCGTTATCTCTCTCTAAAATTGAAATTACAATATATAAGTGAAAATGCGTTGGAAAAAATGCAAATTGAATCTGTGATTATTAAAACACAACTTAACAGTGTCTGAAAAAGTGAGAAGTAAAACTTGAAAAATAATTATTTATTCAAATTTTGTGAATTTTTTTTCCTCCTCCTTCTTCTTTCACTCATTTTTTTTTTTTTTTGTCGAGAAAAGTTAAGAGCTTTTAGGGCTTTTCAAACGATGAGGAAGGAAAATATATACGTATAAACGTATAACACACAAAATGAGGAACAAGTTTATTAACGTCGACCTACTATTTACTTGGGTTCTCTCTTCGTATCAAGTTTCCATGCATCCATAATTACTTGAATCTTGTTTCCTCCTTCCATTAACGATGTTGAAAAATTAAAAATGAAAAATTCCCCAACAATAGACAATTAATAATTTCTTTGACAATCTACATTAAAAGCAAATGTTAACATGGTGTACAAGATAGTAATTTTTAATGTTAAATTAGTAAAATATTTTTTCTTCAAAAAAAGTGTTGCGATAATGTTACGATTTTTTTTTAATAATTAAAGAATTTTTTCTCAAATAAATAAAATTCTTTTTTTAACAATTAAGGATTTTTTTGAAAATAAATTCCTCTAATATCAATTTCTCCTTTCAATTAGCAATTATTTATTCTAAAGCACTTTGATATTTAAAAAATATTTTATTTTTCACAAATATTTCATTTCTAAGCATATTTTATTTTCACACAAAACGAAAAATGGTGATATAACATTCTAAAAATCCTATTCTCTTTATGTCCAGCTGGATTGAGAAAGAGAGAGAATGAGAGATGGATGAATATTGGTTTTTCACAAGGCGAACGCATTTATTAGAGAGAAAAAAAAGCTTCCTATATGGTGAAAAAGTGGTGTTTTATGTCGGGTGGACTTAAAATTATTACTCATCGAAAAAAAGGTGGTCGAATTTTTCTTTTATTTTTGCTGCGCCGAAGCGTCCATGAAAAACATATTTTGACCATGGTCGGTCACGTATTCAGTTTCGGAATTTATTGTTGAGTCAAGGAGATGGAGAGAGAGAGCTTCGAAAATAACGCCACAAGTAGAGCGGAAACGGGAGATCGTGACCGAATGCACATAACGAAATATTTTGCGCACATGTGTCAATAAAGTTTAATAGTCGAAATATTTATGCGTATATGAATATATTTATTTATATGAGAAAAGAAAATAAAAAAACTATGTACATAAACAATTTTTATTTGCTTCTTTACTTTGTTCACTTTTTTCTGAGCCATTGTAGAGAATTTTTTTTTATTTAATTTTATTTATTAAACAAATAAAGTGGGTTAAAGAAATTATTCTAAACAAATTTATTAACAGTATTTTTTTAACTTTGGTTTTTTACTAATTATTCTACAATATTCAAATTATTTATTATTTACAAAATTCAGTTTATTTATTATTTTACTGAATGTTATTGAATCCTTGTTATGAAAGTAGTAAATATGCAAATTAGGTAAAAAAAAAATAAATTCTTATAATAATTCTGTTAGGTAGAGTAGAAAATAAATATAGTTACCTGAAATTTTGGTTACTTTTTAGGAAAGAAACAATTAATAATTTTTTGTGTCATTACACGACGCGTGATACTTTGGTGTTTATTTTCTTTTCTTCTTGTTGTAAAATTTTACGATTTATCTTTATTATAAATAACCCTTTTTTTAATGATGAAGAAAGAAAATTAGAAGCTCAAAATTTAGAGATGTTTCCTGGCTGATGTCTCGGGAAGTAGTGCGCCCGAGTAGCCGCTCCCGTTCTTTAAGTACCGGAGTCGACGCATGCGCTCTGAGTAAAGAGCGCGTGGGGAAGGGGAAAAGTGGGTGGGGCCTTATTCGCAGAAGCATCCAAACGGCAAATTTGTCATTCTAATAATTAAAAATAAATAAAAATAAAAAAATACCGAACAAAGAAGAAATAATAAACAAACGGAAAACGATAATAAATAAAAATAAACAAAAGTAAAACAATATTAATTAGTAATTAAAAAAAGAAACAAACAGAAAATGGTACTAATAAATAAAACTACTGCAAAATGGAAAACAAACAAATAAAAGTAATAAACAAAAGTAAAACCATTATAATTAAAAATATAGAAATAATAGAAAAATAAAGTACCAGTAAACAAATAAATACTAAATAAAAAAATAATAAAGAAAAATTAAAAATAATAAAATTGTCTATTAATAATAATCTTTCGTTGTAATCTTATTATAAAATATGAATAATCAAGTATCCGAAGCTTTTTTTTTACAAAAGAAAAGTGCAATATTTTAATAAGGTCTCACGGTTTGACAAGCAATTATTTCCGCTCTAACCTTTCGATATTCCTTTGATTATTTTGATCGCAAGAAAATTATAATTGGAAGCGAGTGCCGTAAAATATAAATTTTCGTCTCTAAATTTGACAAATATTTCCCTTTTACATATTTTACGTGCATTATACACAGAATTAGAAATAAATTAATTTTTAAATAAATTTTTTCCTCTTTGGAAAAAAAAATTCTTACTAATCAATTTTTCAAAAAGAAGAAAAGAAATATTTAACTTTTGAATTTTTCACATAGAATTAAAACGAGATTGTAAACTTATTTTTGTGTATAATGAGAAATTAATTTTTCACGTCAGTTTAAATGAAACGTTTCTTTTAACGATAATGACGTTACAAATAATTTAGAAGCTAATTTATTTTCTTGATGTCAATTACAGAAGATTCATAATTACTTTTCTTTTTCTCCTTCATCATTCACATTTCCCTTTTTATTCTTCGAATTCTTTTGTGACAAATGATTCTCAAAGAATGTCCAATTTTTTATTTTATATAGATTTTTTTTTCTTTCTTTAAAAATTCTCTTTGCAAAATACAAGGGTTGCGACGCAAAATGTTGAAATTTCATAAATTATGAATTTTTATGTCCCTTTTTTTTCTTTTGTATCACCTCAAGAAGAAAAAAAATTTTTAGATGTTTTTCTACAAAAAAAAAATATTACTTTCATAAAACTTGAGATAAAATGTGTGGATAGAGGAGAATGTTTCAGAAGCAGGAGATTTTCGCATTTTTTTCATAAATTGATGTTGTGCTTTAAGTGAATAATATTATTGTTTATATTATGTTAATTGAATGCTCTTCTTCGTTTATGTAAAATTTTTAATTAGTACGTTTTAGCAATTACTTAATTAAATTTAATTGTATATACAAAACGGACATAATTACCTTATTTTGAAATTTAAATTAATGTGCACAATATTCTTCCTTTTTTGCTTACAAATTAGCTTATTAATAATTAAAAAGTAAATAAAAAAATAATTTTATATTTAATAAATAGAAAAATAATTTTTTCACAAATTATGTTAATTTTTTTTGGAAAATTTTTTTTTTCTGTAAATTTACTTTAAATATGAAAGAAAAATTAATATTTAAAACGACGTGTTTTATCCTCAATTTTCTTTTTAGCGAAAAAAGTTAGGCGAAATGAGGAAATACTTTTTTTTTTTTAATGAATATTGTGACGGTGGGTTATTTAATATTTCAGGAGAATTTCGATCAAATTGGATGCTGCTTTTCTAAGTATCACAACAAATCCCATGTGGCACGTGCCAGTTTCAAAAGCGAATAATATAATTTGAAAAGCCCAAGCGACAAGCCGTTTAGCGTCCACTTTAGACTTTACTCACGTTACTTTGCCTTGTGTATAATAATACGAATAGGTCGGCGAGTCGAGAACCCGTTTCGTTTCTGTTAATTAACACACTATACAAAAAAAAAGAAATAAAAAAAGGAGAAAAGAAAAAACAAAACAAAAAATACGAAAAAAACTCGTGTTATTTTTCAAATGCTCAATTTTTAAAACTACACATTTAAAGAAGTTAAAAATTCCCTTAAAATAAAATTTAAAAATGTTAGTCTCATTTTTTTATTCTCTAAACAAATTTTAATTTCTTTTACTTTTGTATTATTTAAACAAAAGTTTCTATTCTCTTTTTTGGTGTATTTTAATAAAAAAAAACGTTGCTCATGAAAGAGAGAAAAAAATTCTCTTTTTTCCCCTGAAATCAGAACATTATTTAAAACTTTTTTTCCCGTATCGTGTGTATAAATATAAAATATGCCAGTTTGAAGATTTATATATAAAGTGAATTCGCTGTACTTTTTCGGGATTATTGCAATTTTTAGCTAACCGCTTCCATGTTAAATTATGTGAGAGCTTTCATGGAACCTTCATTTCGTCGAAAGCTTTCAAAAAATGAAAAGAAATATTTTTCTGTTCGTAACTGATATATATGTATAAAGATAGATATATACATACAAGGACAACAGTGAATTACGTCGGATAAATTTTCTATAATAAAAAGGTTACGAGCAGATTTTATAACTCCGACATGTATCCTCATTAAAATCACATATATATAGTTTCACCTCCTGTAACATACTTATCCTTAAAAAACATAAATCTCATTTCTTGAATTACTTTTTTTTTTAAATATTAAAGACTTTAGAGGAAATTTTATTTAAAAAAGATTATATTTATCAACGTTTTCCTATAATGTTGAAAGTTTTTAATTACAGTAAAATATTAATTGGACGAAAATTGCAAAACTTCAAATTAATTAATTAAAATTTAAAATGAAATGCTAATTTAAATTTTTTATTTCTTTCAGGCGATGGCCGAGGAGCAGGCGGAGATGGCGAACAAATTGGTCTCAATTCGGAGGAAAAATCCGGATATGAGACAAATTTATATTTGTATAATGTAAGTAGAAATGAAATTTAATTATTATAGAACAAAAAATTTTAAAAAATTTAGACTTGAAATTTTGGTTACTTTTTAGGAAAGAAACAATTAATAATTTTTTGTGTCATTACACAACGCATGATACTTTGGTGTTTATTTTCTTTTCTTCTTGTTGTTCAATTTTACGATTTATCTTTTTTAAAAACAACCCTTTTTTATGATGAATCCTCTGCAGCGTCTGAAACAGAAAAATAATTAAAAACTTAAAAATCATAAAGTAAAAAGTAAACAAAAAATATTTCTATTATGGTAAAGATACATCTGTAATTTTATGGCTTTCGAAATGCAACAACTGAACGGATTAAATTCTCATGATCCTGGTTTAATAATGTTTACGTCAAGAGAATTTAGCTGCTAACAACATAAAAGGATTTTCTAATTCGTTAATCATCTCCACTGTCACTAACTGTGTGAAGTATTCTCTTGGAATGTACACAATTCATTAAACTGTCACTCTTGTCTCGACTGAAAACAAAATATTTAAACACAATTACGTAACCAATAACAATATTGAATCACAACACTTTAATACATTTCTATTTTGCTTTTCTTTATAGTCACTCATGTTTTTTTTACTAACTTTTCAGAAAACGTTTACAAAAACGAAAATTTAATGCATAAAAAAAATTTTCTATTTATTCACTTTGAAATTTATTTTCTATGCAAAACAACGAAACGAAGCGTATTTTTTTAATGAAAAAACTTTTATTTAAAAAAAGTTTTTTCATTTTAATATTATTTCTTCCCTTTATAAAATAAGGGCAATGAAAAATAGATTTTTTAATTAAACAAAAATTTAAATTGGTATTTCTTAAAGTGGAGAGAATTTTTTAAATTGAAGATTACAGATTTAAATTATAGGAATTTTTCAAATTAGACATCTTTTAAACAATAAGAAATTTGTATTTAAATAATGAAACTTAAGTTTAATTAAAAAATTTTTCAATTCAAGTGGAAAAATTTACAATTTTTTTTGTCGACATTTTTTACGTTCCTTTATTCAGTTTTCACTGTTATTGGATTTCTCAACTAATGAACAAGCTTTGTACAAAAATTTTTTTTCGTCTCCTTCTCAACAAATAATAACGACAATATATTTTTTTCCAAAAAAAAAAGTTTTCATTTCCTTCGTTATTTAATATTTAATTAAAAAACTTTTTTTTCTATTTATAAAAGTTGCATTTTTGTCTGGAAAATAAATTTCAAAATAGAATTCTTCTGAATTCTTTTTATATTTATTTTTAAGGTAAATATTTATTTACTTAATAAATTATATAAATAGAACGAAATAAAACATGTTAGTGGAAAAATACGAAAGTAGAAATAATAAATAGATAAGCAAATTTCATATTAATGTATAAATAAATATTTAAAAAATTAGTATTCTTTTTTATAATTTTATGGTAGTATTTTAATGTTTTAATTCTATTCATTTGACGATTTACAGAAATTGAATACAGTAATTAAAAAAAAATTTCTTTCCCACGGAAAAGTTAAATATAGAGTTGCAGAAACTAATAAATTATATACGCGAATGGAAAATGAAAAATTGAAGAAATGAATAATAATTAAGGAGGAATCCTTTTTACGATTTCAAATGCTAGAAACGTTGGACTGAACTTTTTTTTTCTTCTTTTCGAAAGACAATTAAGCTTGCCACTCGCCTGAGAATTCTCGCTTTTTAATGAAGGACCCTCAAGACACAGTTGCGAGAGTTCAGTTGTTCTACTTTTTTAGCTACTTGAAATCTTTATTATTGCTTTTTATTTAGTTATATATTTTTTATTTTATAGTTTTATATAATATAAAATATCGATAATAACTTTTTTTTATTAAATTTTAAAACGAATATCGGAACTAATACTGTGATTTCTATTATTATTAATATTTATTTATTTAAACCGTTATTTTTATTTATTATTTTTAGGAAAGAAACAATTAATAATATTTTGTGTCATTACACAACGCGTGATACTTTGGTGTTTATTCTCTTTTCTTCTTGTTATGCAATTTTACGATTTATCTTTATTACAACCCTTTTTAATGATGAATCTTCTGCAGCATCTAAAACAGAAAATCAAATTTAATGTTAACAATTTTCTATACGTTACCAAAAATTTCTTTTTTTCTTTTCTTTTTCTCCCAATTTAACGATTTATCTTTATTACAATTTTTTTTATATTGATGAATGTTTTGCAGCATCTGAAACAAAAAAATAATTATTAATTAAAAATCATACAATTGAGGCTCTGGATCTTAAAAGGGCACTTTTACCATTTAAAATCAATGCTGCAAGTGCCCTTTTGAGATCCGAAGCCTCAATTTCTATGAATTCTGTTTTAAAAAATAAATGTTTATATTTTAAGAATTATAAATAGTTTTAAAAAAATTCCTCATTTGTGTAATATGAAGTTGTACACATCAATTCGTTTATAAGATTAATAAAAATTTAATAAATTCAAGTTACGACTTTTGAAACTTGAGAGTTTATAATGTTATACTCTTTTATATAAGTTTGAGGACAAGTTTGACCTAACATCGTTCTGCCAGACAGAATTCCCAGCAAGAGGAATGAACTCAATTTTTTTTTTAATTTATAGTGTCATAAAGTAATTTAATAGTTTCATAAATTACCAGTTGAAAGGAAAAATAAACTTTGATTATTTACTTCACTTAGAAGTTTAATTTTCACGCAATTATTTTAAGTCTTAAAATTGCTCCAAGGGAGGAAATAATTCTTTTTTAAAAGATTTATTTTTTCTTATTTATTTTAGTTTAGAACTTACTTTTCTTTTGGTGAAAACTTAATTTTTGTTTCAAACTAAATAATTTCAAATTTTTGAGTAGAAAAGTGATAGTAATTTTTTCCCATAAATCAGGAAAAATTATTTACATTTCAAGTTTTGATAATGGTACATTCCTTCTAAAAATGTCAATGAAATAAAAATTTAAATGATAGAAAGTTCAATAGTAAAGATCAATTTGTAAAATTTGATTCAAGTTATCATTCTCTTCGTCTGTTTCAATTAAAATTTATTGCATTGAAAAAATAAATTTTCAGATTCATTAAGGTTTTATAAATTCCATTAGAGTTTTATAAATTGAAACCGCATAAATTGATGAAATGCGCATGGGGAAAATGAAAAGAGAGAAAAAAAACAGTTCTGAAATATTTATTTCCAAGCACGTTTATCGAACAATTTAATAAATTTGATCAATTTTTAAATTCTCTATTTATTTATTTAAATTATCATTTCGTGCGACTCAATAGCAAATAAATCTTTTGTTAAAAAAAGTCCACTCTTCCAATTCTTTCTTTTCAAATTAAAACCATTTTTCACAAATTGAAAATGTTCTTTCAATGCTGACAAAAATATATTCCATTGTAGAGGTTCCAAGTTTTCCACTTGAAACTTTTTCACCTACTTATATATGAAATTCAAGTTTCTTACTTTCTTTAGTTTACAAAGAACTCAAATTTTCTCTGGTTTTCAAAAAGAAATGTTGAAAATGTTGGCTTTAAAAAAAAGGGAAAAAGAAAAATATGGTTTATTATAATATAAAAGGGGCAATAATGTCACAAGTGTGACATTGTGGAATGTCAAGAAATTGCTACGTAAAGCAGAAACGAACAGAAACTGTTTCACGTTCCTTTAATTGGATTGTAATATATCCGGGAAATTTTACCGACCAATCATAATCGTTTAACAGTTTTCGACGTTTGTGGTTAGCCAACTCTGCTCCACTTGTCATTCTATACTCGCAACTTCTCGTTTAATTTTGACACACTAATCCAAGTTGTCTCTACTTGGATATTTTTAATTATTTCACTTTAGATACTGTGGAATATTTTTTTTCTTTTAGGAAAGAAACAATTAATAAGATTTTGTGTTTTTTCACAACGTGCGATGCTTTGGTGTTTATTCTCTTCTCTTCTTCTTGTCATAATTTTACGATTTATCTTTATTACAACCCTTTTTAATGATGAATCTTCTCCAGCATCTGAAACAAAAAAAATTAGTTTAAAAATCATGAAATGGAGTAAAAAGAAAAATTGACTAACTAACCCCACTCTTTCCAAAGTGAGGCGACTGTTTAATTTAGCTACTAAATGAATTAAATAAAAATCTTGATTTATTTTTTAAGAAAATTAGATCAAACCTTGTCTATAAAAACTGGAGAATTTCACTCGAGTGAAATTTCTTATGAAAAATAAAAGTACTAATCAAATCCATTGATGTCAATGTCAGTGGAAAATAAGAAAAAAAAAGGTATCTCGCGTCGTCGTCGTCGTCATCATCGTCGTCGAGGCTTTATAACCAAGTCTTCTCTCATATAAGCAACGAATACATGGCCTTTCAGTGAAGTGGAAAGTTATTACGGTGGCGTCTCGTCTCTTTTCTCTTGTAAAATGCAATACATGTGTATAAGCAACCAACACAGAAGTGAAGTCCGAGTGCGCTCATCAACTAACCCTCTCTTTCTCTCTCACATATATGCAAACGTTAAGCTTTAATATACGAGTCATCCGTTACGAGCGACACACGCGCCCTATCTCGCACTACCTGACGTTGTTAGAGTTTAATGAAACTTTTGAAACTCTCCAAACAGACTTTCTTGAACGTCTTTTTTTTTAAAAAACACACCACTTTTACCCCTTCCGCAAAAAATAAAGAAATTACCAAAAAAAAAGGAAAATTTCCTCATTTCTAAACTCATTACCCAAGACCACCGGATTTTCATTGAACAATAAAAAATACTTTTCTAATCAAAATTTTTCGATAAAGAAGACATTGTAATGTAATTAATTAGTTATTATTATAATAGCTTTAAATAGTTTAAATAAAAATTATAATAAATATTAATAATGTAAAGTTAAATTGATAAATTGTTAAATTGTTAGATTTGTAGTGATTAGTCAAAGTGAAATAAATATATGGACAAAAATGGCGTTTGTTTTAGCTGGTAATTATAATAATTTTGATTACTTTTAAGGAAAGAAACAATTAATAAATTTTTGTGACATTACACATTCGTGACACTGTTCATGGCAATAGCAGAAGACTCCCTCAGGGAAATGCCAGTAAGGAGCGCTACCTGCGTCCTACCTTTCAAAATACGCGGCAAATTCAAAATTACTAAAATTCAAAACTTTTTCCCTATTGTCATAAAGATAAAAAATTTTTATTCACAGTGTAAAAAATATCAAATGTAACAAATAATAAAAAAAATTCTTTCTTCAATACTTTAATGAGTCTTGTTCTCCTATTTTCGAAAGTTTCGAAGGAGAAAGAAGGCTTTTATGGAATATACAACGAACTCACAGTTATTGGCAGTAAATAAGATGAAAAAAAGAACAACTTTTTCTTCTTCCCAATTTACTTGACTCATGCGGCCAAAAAGTTTTGAAAAACGGATTACTCATCTCACTCTCGACTACTGAAAAATAAACTTAACGAAGTTACTTTCGGACTTTTCTATCAAGTGCATATATATAGAGAGAGATGAGAATAGAGAATGGAATGAACATTGTCAGTTCTTTTTTTTTGAAATGCAAAATGACTTTGTAGTTTTCAGCGCAAGTTTTTAATCCGATTATACACAGTGAACAATATAGAAACGATGGGGAAAAGAAGAAAGGAAATTAATAGTTTAGAAATGCAACCTGAATACTTTATATATACGTTGAAGAGCAATGAAAAGTTACGTTTAATTTGTCTTTTCTCTCATTTAACAAAAAGTAAATGAGAATTTTCCGGGATTTCATAGAGAGTGGAAAAAAATATGATATTTATTTTTCTTGCAAATTTTTCGCAGAGGGATAATTTTAAATTATTTCGCGAGATGATGAGATAATGTTACTAATCAGGAAGAGACGTTTTTATTACAGCGAGAATTTTTTAAATTGAAAATAAGTTTAAATACTTTTAAATGTTTGCAAATAGTTTTAAATATACTTGGAAATAATTTTAAAAGTGAGATAAATCTTAAAAAATATAAAAATGCAGATTGGAAATAAAATTGAAAAATATTTTCACTTTTTTGGAAATTAAAGTACTTTTTGAATTAAAAAATTTTTTTATTTTTTTTTTTTTAAATTCTCTTCGGTTTAGAAGACGTGACATTTTTCATTTCCTTCACTGCAGATCCTTATCGTCGTGGGTGCGACTCTTTTTTATTTTACGGATAAACGAAAAAAAACGTTAAGTTTGCAATTTCTTTTTGTTGTCTATTTTTAAATATCTATTTTATCGTATCCATCAATCAAGTAATAAAAAACTATTTCTCCTTCCCCGACAAATTTTGTTATTCGTACATTAATAATTAGGAAACGTTATAATGTTGAACAATTCCCTCAAAAGTTTTAATTACTTTCAATAGAAGTTAATTATAAATATAAGTTAATTAATTTTATTATTATAGAAACTTTTAATTATTTTCGTAAAAGTTAATTTATTTTTTATATAATTAAAGATTTATATATTTAATTAATATTAAATTTTTATTATTTTTTTATTTTTATCTCGAGAAATTCTTCTATTGTATACGATTGTTTCGAGTTACTTTTATATTTATTAACTTTCTACTGAAGTTTATAACAAACATCCTGTTTTTCAATATATATATATTTTTACTTTATCTTTTACCACTCACTGTAGATTTTCACTCGGAACTTACTTTAAAGTTACTTTTCAACTTCTTCATTCTAAATTCAAAAACTTTAACTTTATAGGGAAAATTATATCTCATCATCAGTGTATAATAGAAATTTATTATGATAACTTGCGGGTTATTTTTGATATCCGCGTCTCGGAGAAATTTGAGAAATTTCTATTTTCTCAAAACTAATTCGCTTTGGAATTTTTTATATAAAAAGATAGGATATAACCTATTATTATTATTATTATTTGTAACAATTTACATACATTGTATTTAAATAAAATAAATTTTTTTTTAACAGTTATGTTACAGTTATGTAACAGTTACATAACAGTTTAGTAAATTTCAATAACAATTTTGAAGACCGATCCAGAAAATAATTAATTTTTTCAATTTTCAGGATGAAATGGAGGATCGGCCTCGGGTTGCCGAGTTCCTTCACAGTTTGGCGGACTACAGTAACACAATACCGGTGCCAACGGATCCTGACAGTAAGCCTGCTGCCGGTAAACCTGGAGGGGCCCGAATGGGCACCCTGATCGGCGTCTTTTTACCCTGCATTCAAAATATCTTTGGCGTCATTCTCTTCATTCGTCTCACATGGGTAGTGGGGACAGCAGGTGCAATACAAGGATTTTTAATTGTCCTCTGCTGCTGCTGTGTAGTAAGTTTTACCATACTCTTCTAGCAATAATTATACCCCACTGCTTTTCTACCCCTCCTCCTAACTGTATATATATATAGAAAATCCAGTTAAAAATTTACAAAAGAAAAATATTTATAAAATTATTATTATTCTAAATTATACGTAATTATAATTATATTTATTATAATTAATTATAATTTTTTATTATATTATTTGATTATATCATAATAAATTTAAATTCAGTTATAATTGTTATTAACTATAATTATAATTGAACCGCCGGATCGCTGAATACGAATCTAGGGTCAGTTTTTAAAAATACAAAATGGAGGATCCAATATGGCGGACATGAAAATTAAAAATTGACTGAATTCGCTTGAAAATATTTACAGGGAGTTTTTGGGGTAGCTGAATACGAATTTGTGGTTATTTTAAAAAAATTCAAAATGGCGGATCCAATATGGCGGACATGAAAATTAAAATTCGACTGAATTCGCTTAAAAAATGATTTAAATAATTAAAAATTGTTATAATACTGTTAGAATTACAGTTAAAATTATAGATCTAATTATAATTATTTTTAAATGTATTCCTAAACTTAAAAAATTGTGTCAAATGTAAATAAACATAAAGTTAATAAATAATAACTGAATAAGTAGGTAATAAAAAGTAATAAACAGCAAAGATAATAAAAAGTAATTAATACAATTTCCATAAATCACAAAACGAATTACATTTTCTCGAAAATACATTAAACAAACAAAAAAATATTTTTTAAAATCGTGCTCGAAAATGATTGTAAATACAATTTAATGAAAATTTATACCCAGGGCATTTCACATATTGTATTATATGATTAAAAGATATAATAAATTCGTTATGTAATTGCAGTAAAATAATCACATATCTCTCCCTAATTATATGGCTTTAATTGGAACAATAAACATATTTATTGTGACAATATACGAGTAAATGTCACATATTTATAATTAATATTATAAACTTATTTCCATGAAATTTAACGAGACAAATAATATAATAATAAACATGAAAGTAAATATAAGTACTCATTGAGATGGGATAATTTTGCGAGATATTTTTTACTGAAACTTACAAAAAATATGTTTGAAAAACAATTTTTTTTGGTAATTTTTCTAATTTTTGTAAAATTAAATGTAGAAGAAAATGCATGATTGTTATTATTTATTGCATATGTGAAAATATTATTTTTTAAACTGGGCCTAGCAAAGTTTTCTTGCTGGATATTGTGGTGTTTTTAATATATCAATTTTTTTAAAATAAATTTTCTTTGTTGTCTAATTAGGTTTTTTTGTTCTTTTTGTTATTTCTTCAATTTTCTGTTGTTTTCTTTCGTTTAATTTTCGTTCTTTTTATTTTTATTATTTCCTCTTCTTTATTTTATCCTTTCTGTTTTATTTTTTCTTTTTTTGTTTTCTTATTTCTTTTCGTTTTTGTTTTTTTTTCGTTTTTGTTTTTTATTTCTTGTTTTTTTCTTTTTTCTCCTTTTTTATTTTTATTGCTTCTGTAAATCTTTTTCTTTATTTCCCCCCATAAAAATAATGTAGTGGAACTAATATTTCCTTCTTCTGTTTTTAAAAATTCTTTCTTATTTTTTTTTGGACAATCTTTTCCCTTGTTTTTTTTAATAAACATTTATTATGTTTGAAAATAAAAAATTAGTTTCTCTCTCTCTCTCTCTTTCTCATTCTCTCACGAACAACGCTTAATATTATTAGATAACAAATGAATCAAGGACTTTTATGACAGATTCTACACATCTGTCGCCAGAAGCCTATCATCATTTTATCCCAAAGACCCTGAACAAAAGTTTTACTTGAGTTCATATAGCAGAGCAATGAGCAAACTTCTCGATTAAAACTTTCATGTTCTAATTTTGTTTCTCCCCGCGCGCGACAATGACAAAAGAGGAAGTAAATAATACAATATTTTAATAAAATGAATATATAAACGTACAAAAGTCATAATGGCTTTTGTTGGCTTTTGAAATGAGAGAAGAAAAACTGAATTTTTTAAAATATTATTTTGTTTTCGGAGTTTAGAAATAATTTTTTTTAAACATTTTTTAAAGTCATTAAAATTATTTTAGTAAACTCGGAGTAAAAGAAAAATAACAGATTTTGCTGTTTTGATTTTCGATTTATATTTTTACACTAATGTGATACGCAAGAGGTTTGAAAATACAACAAATGAAAATTCTATTTAATGTGCTAAAGGAGTACTAATTTTTTTTCCTCGCTTGATTTATGAAGCAGTAATTTTTATTGGTATATAATCTCCTGAGAATTGATTCGCGGATAGAAGAAGCAATTTGGCCCTTGGCTAACTGCCATTCACTGGAAGGTTCTTTGAAAGAGACTTATATTCTTGAAGAAACTGCAGAAATTCTAGAACCATTGTGCTGAAAATTATTTCAAATGTCAAATACCATGTGTAGAATTTCTGTCTATTTTCTCTCGTAACACACTTTCGAGAGAAAATTGTAGGTGATTTCTTTTTTTATCGGCAATTGTACTTTTAGTTGCAAAAATTACTTCAATTTTTCTGATTCCTTTCGATTATTAGCACTTAAACCTGATTACTTACAACATTGCTTTGAAATTCTGATACCTAATCCGCTAATTATGAAAATTTTGCCATACCAGATTCATCAGCAATTAAAGGAATATTCACTATTAGATGAATATTATTTGTTAATATAAATTTATTGTTGTGCTTCGATATTCTATTTGCTAATTCCTCCTCCATTAACAACACCTGAACCTGGAATATTATTTCCAACGTTGTTATTTGCTGATTCCTGTCCATTAGCAGCACCTGAACCTGGAGCACTACGTACAACATTGATTCAAAATTCTAATGCTGTAGCCATACAGACATCACTGTTTCAATTTCCCAAAATCGCGGCACTACTTGATAACAATGCTGCAATTTCATCTGCTGTACATAATCCATTACTTAGAGGGAATTTTGAACCAAAATCATCAGCACTTAAATTAATAGCATATTCAGTATGAATGTTCTATTGGATGAAATCTGTTTTCTATTTGGATTTGTAAATGAAGAATCAGACATACTTTTGTGGCTTATGATGGTAGCATTACTGATGATCAAAATACAATAACAAATGGTACTAATGATGGTAGCACTACTGATGATAGTGTTATTAATGATGATAGTATCAATAATGATGATATCATGACTGATGATAGTATCATTAATGATAGTATTATTACGGATGAGTGGAGGAATGTTAGTGGACCACTCTGTGTTACAATAAACTTTGATGAATTTACCTAATCAAAAATTTGTTCTCCACAGACAATGCTGACAGCCATAAGTATGAGCGCAATTGCTACGAACGGTGTGGTACCTGGAGGAGGTTCTTATTTCATGATCTCCAGAAGTTTAGGACCCGAATTCGGCGGTGCTGTGGGAATGCTCTTCTACACAGGCACCACACTAGCAGCAGCCATGTACATCATTGGTGCCGTCGAAATCGTTCTGGTAAGTCACTTTCCTCCTCTGACACTATTAATTTTTGATCCAGACAAATGGGAATGAATATATAAACTTTTAGAGCAACTGCTAATATTGCGAAATTGTTTAAATTTTAGACATACATGGCACCAAGTTTGAGTATATTTGGTGACTTTACTCAAGATCCAAACATAATGTACAATAACTTTCGTGTCTATGGAACGGGTCTTCTGATGGTCATGGGTACAATTGTCTTCATCGGCGTCAAGTTCGTCAACAAGTTTGCCACAGTCGCACTTGCTTGTGTCATCTTTTCCATTATTGCCGTCTACGTTGGACTCTTTGTTAACTTCAATGGAAATGATTTACTAAAGTGAGTTGTTCTCCTAACTTTTGAAATTCAGCCAAAATTTACCAGATAACTTTGCCCAATCTATTTCATCAGTTATTTTACTCCCATTACCATCGTCCTCCAAATCAATACCAAAAATATAACATTAAAATGCATCATCAAAATACAACTTCTAAATACAAAACGCAGCATAAAAATACAATTTCAAAACAGAATTTAAAAATACAATTTCAAAATTACAACAGCATCAAAATACAAAATCAAAAAACTCCAATCAGTTTCCAGAAACACCTACTTTTGAAATCTTTTGTTTCCAAAACAAACTAATATCTCCAAAAACTTGTTTTCGAATCTTTTTTTTTTTTTGAAGTATCAGATCGAAGTAAAAGTAATAGAAAGGAAAAATTTGTAAGTAGAGTAAAGAAAGAAAAAAGAAATCTAAAGTAAAGATTAAAGTATATAAGAGAAAAGTAACAAGTAAAGATTTTCTAGAGGCAAAGAAAGCGTTTAAAAAGTTTGTCTTTAGAAAGTTGAGAGCAATAAAAATCCGTGAAAAATTGATCACAAACGAAGTGCGGGCGAAGAGAGAAAGAGATACAGACACATATGTATATATAATGTGTGTGCACACATTACGTGACTGTGCAATCTCGTTAAAACAGAAACAGATGAATGAAAATTGTGTAACAACATTGACAAATTTAATCGTTTTAGGATGTGCACCCTTGGCAACAGATTGCTAAAGAATGTCACCGTTGACAATTGCAACAAGGATTGGCTCCGCAATGTTTATTGCAATAATTCCAGAGACTGCGACACCTACTTTAACGAAAATGATGTAACTATTGTTAATGGAATTAAAGGACTCGCCAGCGGTGTATTCTTAGGTATTGTTATCAATGTTACTATTATTTTTTACGATTTTTTATATTCTTATTATTCTCTATTTCTTAGTCCTTATTATTATTTGGTTCTTATTTCTGTTTTGTATACTACTTAGCCTTTTATTTTTGTTTAGCTTCTTATTTTGCTTTCTATTTTTGTTTAGTTTATTATGTAGCCTCTTTTTTTTGTTCTGCTTCTTATTTTTATTATGTTTTCGATTTTTTATTACCGTTGATTGTTTTTGGACAATTCAGTATTTTATGGACTAAACTTTTGTCCCCATTTTTTTATCGTTCCTTTATTTTCTTTTCTAGAAAACATTTGGGGAAGTTTTCAAGACGAAGGACAATTTATTGCGAGATATAATCAACCGAAAGATATCGACAAGCTGACACCGCAGAGTTATAATCAGATTCAAGTCGATCTCACCACGACCTTTACGATTTTGATCGGAATCTTCTTTCCATCGGTTACTGGTGGGTACTTTTAAATCCAATTTTCAACATTTTCGGAGTCACAAATTTTCCCTTTTTTGTTTACAATGAAGTCCAAAGTTTATTTAGAGAAAAGAAAGGAGCGAAAGTTGCAAATGGCGGAAAATGAATCATTCGGATTTGTTCGTTACGATTCGTGGGGAAAGAAATTATACATTTCCTCAGTTCGTGTAGTTTCGGGTCGTGGCGAAAATTCACGAGGGGAACTTCGTGAAACTTCGTAGAGACGAATTTCCACGAACTAATCTTCGGGAAAGTTCGGGCCCTCTAAGCATGAAAACGAATGAACCGGGTTTTTTGCCATTTGGCGTAAATCCGTTCGGACGAACAGAATTTTTTCTAAATTAGATCTTTGGGCCTTCTGGGGATAAAACATAAGGATGTCTTCCTTTACCTAATTTGCATATCTACTCTTTTTATATAAGGACATTTAATTAATTATTAATTAAATTACAGGAATTATGGCGGGATCGAACAGATCCGGTGACTTGGCGGACGCCCAGAAGTCGATACCGATTGGAACGATTTGCGCCATATTGACAACGTCCACCGTCTACTTATCCTGCGTTCTCCTGTTCGCCGGGACTGTGGACAATCTCCTGCTCCGGGACAAATTTGGTCAGAGTATCGGAGGGAGATTAGTGGTGGCAAACATCGCCTGGCCTAACGAGTGGGTCATCCTAATAGGCTCCTTCCTCTCCACCCTGGGAGCCGGTCTGCAATCACTAACCGGAGCACCACGTCTCCTGCAGGCAATCGCCAAAGACGAGATCATCCCCTTCCTGGCACCATTCGCCAAGAGTTCAAGTCGTGGTGAACCGACTCGTGCCCTAATCGTGACAATTCTCATCTGTCAATGTGGAATTCTCCTGGGAAATGTCGATCTCCTGGCGCCGTTACTGTCGATGTTTTTCCTCATGTGCTACGGTTTTGTAAATCTCGCCTGCGCCCTGCAGACTCTTCTGAGGACTCCCAACTGGAGACCGAGATTTAAATTCTACCATTGGAGTCTATCGTTCATTGGCTTGTCGCTTTGTATCGCTATTATGTTCATGACCAGCTGGTACTATGCCCTCCTGGCGATGGGAATGGCGGGGCTTATCTACAAGTACATTGAGTACAGAGGCGCCGAAAAGGAATGGGGTGATGGTATCCGTGGTCTGGCTCTGTCAGCCGCTAGGTATTCACTCCTTCGACTTGAGGAGGGTCCACCTCATACCAAGAATTGGAGACCACAAATTCTAATTCTAATTAAACTGACAGGAGACCTTGTTCCCAAGTACCGTAAGCTTATAACTTTCGCCAGTCAACTGAAAGCTGGCAAAGGTTTGACGATTTGTGTAAGTTGTATCGATGGTGATTACGCGCGTAATTCTGGCGAAGCACTGGCCGCTAAACAAAGTTTGAGAAGATCTATGGAGGAGGAGAAGGTGAAGGGATTTGTCGACGTTTTAGTGGCGCGAAATGCAGTCGATGGTGTTAGTGCCTTGGTGCAAACTACCGGTCTTGGTGGAATGAAACCCAATACAGTGATTCTTGGCTGGCCCTATGGGTGGAAGCATTCCGAGGATGAGAGAACGTGGAGGGTGTTCTTGCAAACGGTACGAAATGTCACCTCTGCACGTATGGCTCTAATGGTGCCGAAGGGAATTAACTTCTTTCCGGATTCCACCGAAAAAGTTGTTGGCAACATCGATGTTTGGTGGATTGTTCACGACGGTGGTCTACTGATGCTGTTGCCATTCCTCCTAAAGCAGCATCGCACCTGGAAAAATTGCAAGTTGAGAATTTTCACCGTCGCCCAAATGGAGGATAATTCCATCCACATGAAGAAGGACCTCAAGAAGTTCCTCTACGATCTAAGAATTGAGGCTGAGGTCGAAGTTGTCGAAATGGTACCCAAACTGTTCCTCTTTCTTTACTTTGGCACTTGTTTATCATTTCTAAAATAATTACTTTTCAGATGAATGCCGATATTTCCGAATACACTTACGAGCGAACACTCCAAATGGAACAGCGTAATCAATTCCTCCGTGAGATGCACTTGAAGAAAAAGGAATCACAAGGCTTGGTGAGTAAACAATTGTTACTAATTCTGATTAATGATATCTACTGTCGAAACTAAAAAAACAAAGATCTAGCCATTGGGTCGAAAGGCTATGGCGACAGCTTTTTAGTTTGCACAGCAGATATTTAGTGATGTAGTCTATTACATCAGTCTAATTAAAAGAATTAAGTACAAATTGGAAACTAATTGCGTGAGAAAATATACTGATTGTACAATATCTCTTTGTTGTGTGCTCGTCACGGGAAAAAGGTGGAGACATTGGAGTTCAACGAGGTACCTGCTGAAGAAAGTTTGCCTGTGGTTTGTCAAAGACCCTTCCCCAAATCCTTGTATCCAATTCATGATCCATTTAGCAAAACTACTTCTCTCATCATTCCCTTTATTTCCAATTTGGTATTTTTTTTCTGCAAAATCATCAATTACACAATTTTCCATTCTTGACGAACACACAGACGGAACGAAACTTTTTTTTTGCCTAACGTTTTTTTCTTCTTTCATTTTCAGGACAAAGCATTTACACAATTTCATGAAAAATTAGCTTTTTATTGTCATTGCCATTCATGTATCATCAACAGAAGTCTAGTTTCTTAGTTTCTCTTTAGAGAATCAAGAATCTAGAAAGAGCATTTTTGCTAGGCTTAAATTTTTTTGATTTTTTTGGTGAATCAAAAATAGTGCATTATAGTTTAGCATTATATGTGGAATTTGGAATTAAATATAGAGGGTATAATGGGATATTTTTCGCTTTAGGTTCAAGCTATTGTGGATCATCATCATAATGTGGATGTGAAGACGGCGACAAAGGTACGATTCCAAGAGCCTGGAGCAAATCAGGCTAATGGCGTTGAAGAGGGAGCGGAGAAACTTTTACAGGAGTCGGAATCGAGTCAGAAGGAAAATGATATTAGTGCTGAGGGTCAGGCGAAGAGTAATGAAACAACTGATAAACCAGCAGCAGATGAGGCGAAGAATATTGGTGGTTCGCCTAAACAGGATAATAAGGAAAATGCGGAGAAGGAGGCTAAGAGTAGTCAGGACAAAAAGGCCGAGGAGGCTAAGGAAGCATCCAAACCCACACCGTAGGTTCTTTCTAAATGTCTTCTAATTTTAGCCAAGTACTTCCTAATTCTTTCTGATTACTGATTACTTATTAATTTTTAATTTAATTAATTTAATTCTGATTTACTTATAAATGTTAACTTCTTTGTTTCAATTCCCTTTGAAGTGATGAAGGAAATGTGAAGCGTATGCACACTGCAGTGAAACTAAACGAGGTCATCGCGAAAAGAAGTAGCGATGCGCAGTTGGTGATTCTCAATCTCCCAGGACCACCGAAGGACACGAAACTGGAACGAGAATATAACTGTATCCTTTTTTTCTATCGAAAACTAAAAGGAGAGGATGCAAATTGTTTTCCTAATCATCTAGCAAAGTTTTACACCCATAAGATTCTAGAAAGCACTTCAAAATTTTTGTTCTCTTAATGCACGTCTAGAATGGTTTTTCTCTTACAGAATACCAAAAAGTTTCAGGACGTGCATTCAGTTACATCTATTTCGAAAAATATTCCCGCTATCATCATGACCCAAGAGACTTTATTCTTCCTTATTTCATGAGGAACAAATTTCTCTCCCCCAACTCTAACTGCTTTTGAGTTATTTTCCACAGAACCAATTTCTGAAATTTCCAGAAAAATAACGGGATGTATTTAGGTTTAGAGAAAAATATCTCGAAAAATATTGCAGCTGGGATCATGACCCAAGAGACTTTTTTCTTCCTTATTCTATAAGTAACAACTTTGTCCATTGGTATATTTATCCATCGCCAACTGTTTTCGAATTATTTGCTTAGAAACAAAGTACTCAAATTTACGAAAAACAACAACGTGTATTCAGATTAATCTATTTCGCAAAATATTATAGCTGGGATCATGACCCAAGAGACTTTTTTCTTCGTTACTTTATGAGCAACAACTTTGTCCATTGACTTACTTTTCCAACGCTGATATTTTTCGAGATATTCGCCGAAGTAGAAAACATAAAAAAAACTTTTTTTTTCCATCCGACTTTTTCGTGAGTTAAATAATCATAAATATGACTAAATTTAAAGTATTTTTTTTAGATATTAAAGTACTTTTAGTTACCTAAATTGACGACTTTGTTGAATATGAAAATGGAGAGAAAATTTCCTTAACTAAAAAATTTAATAGATATGGAATTTCTGGAGGTCCTCACCGAGAATCTGGAGAGGGTGCTAATGGTACGAGGAAGTGGACGAGAAGTAATAACCATCTACTCGTGAACGGAATCAGCAACGTTCAACAAAATCGCGGACTTCAGCATCTCGCTAAAATCAGAGTCTAGTTTAATTTTCCTAATAATTAAAATAATCCTCAAGGCCATTTTTCTATTGTGCCGCTATCTTGCACCGTTAATGGCGCTAAGCGCTAATAACTTAATATTCTATTCAAATTAAGTGCAGTGTCTAATAGAGAATGGGAAGCGATGATTAAAAAAATCCACCACAAATCGAAACCCTCTTTATCTGACGATAGCAAAAAAAAACTATTCACGAACAAAAACAAATGAAAATTTATTGAAGCTGAAAACTTATCTCTTTGTCCGTCTGTTCCGAAAGATTAGAATATTTTAAACAATTATAAGGATTCTGATGCCAAAGTATGTAACGTGCCAAAGGCTAAGTTTACTTTCAATGATTTTTCATTAGAACTTAAGACGAGTAAATTAAGTTACATTTACTAGTTCATCGAAGTAAAACTCTCGAAAAGGTATTCTTACTTTTTTTTCTACTTAACGAGTGGAAAACCTTTTACGACAAAAACAAGATCTCATCATTTATAATTAAAAAAAATACACGCCCGCATGTACATAAAAAAAATTTACGAAAAGACTTGCATGCGTACGTGAGGACAAAAAAAAATTCACACACTTTCACTCATCGAAAACTAAAAAAATCAAAATTTGGTCGGAGGCTAATGTCGAAGCATCTACGAAAAACACTGCCAAAATATTTTCTATATGCTTCGCGTTTAACCAAAGACAAAAAAAAAGAATAGAAGAGAGAGGCTCATTTTTCTACGCGCATTGTCGGTTTTTAGGAAACAATTTCTAGATATGAAAATATATAATTATTATTCTATTGCTTAAAAACTACGTGACGAGTTAAATTTTAGCCAGTAGGATAAATAGCAAATTTAGAAAACAATCATCTTCCGTTTACTTACCTATATGGTATTTATAACCAAAAAAAAACGAAAGAAAGAAAAAGTATTCAACTTAATTTTTTCCCTCCCATTTCTAAGAAAAAAGAATTCTCGTGTAGTAAATTTTTAAAAAAACACTGTTTTCTATTGCATCCGATTTTTACATTCGTATGTAAAAGTTTTTTTCAAAAACTAAAAAAAAATAACAGTACTAAGGCAAAAAAATGTATAGATTTTGCTGACGCGCACGAGATTGTGCGCATCCCCACTACGCAAGACGCGCCTGCGCAGACAGGCGCGCTCGCCTAGTGGGGGAACTGGAAATCACGATCTCGTCTACGTTACAAAAGCACGATTAACTTAAAAAACACACTTTAGCCGATTTTTTCTTTCATGGGCCATTTTCAGAAGCAGTTCGTCGCACTCGTGTTCATTTTACTGTTCTAAGGCCTATAAATATCGGTCCGTATATGAGGCAAATTTTGAAAATTTGCTATAAATTAACACCAAAAGAAAAAAAAAGATACGCAGTGTGTGTTAGGGTAGTGTTATTCGATGGATAAGAGAAAAATTTTCTATAGCAAAAAAACTCGAAAAAAAAATTCCAAAATCGATGACGCTACAAATCTGCGGCACATTTCATATTAAAAAGATTAAAAGAAAAATAAAATAAAAAGTTTAGCTAATTTTAGAACACTAATTATTAATACTCGAGTTAAGTGTCGTGATGCACTTTTTACATAGTTTGCAGTGCGTCTATTTCACTTTTTAGATAGGACCCAAAAAATGCAGGACTGCGCTTGAAAGAAAAACGTGATAACTCATTTAGATTCATTTTTTCTTTTTTAAAATTTGGGCTAGGTGCAAAATTTTTAACAGGGTATTGTCAATTACGTAACGTCCCCTCCTTTTTTTAACCACTGAATAATTAACCCAAAAAAGGATTTTACTTTTAAAACGTCAGTATTCTTTGTGATGATGTGCAGGATTCTTAAGTATTAAAAAAAGAATAAAATTCGTTTTAGGAAAAAAATTCCATTAAGTGAAAAACTGAAAAGAGAAATGACAAAAAAAGTACTTAAAAAAATCTGCGTGGGTATTTTAATTACTGCACTAGTATTTCCCTTAAACTTCTGTGAACAAAAAAAAAATTACGATACGACGATCATGTGCGTTAATATAAAACAAATGTCCAGCCTCAAATTTCGTGCTCGAAAAAAGAAGAGGACTAAAAAAGAAAAGCTCTTTAAAAAAGCGCATTGATTTTCAAAGTAAATGAAAACAAAAGAAACTATTCAAATAATAGTAGGTAGGAAAAAAACGTAACTAAACATTATTACGATTGAAAAAAAAAATTCGTAATCAATATAGTCTAAAAAAATATTGATTAGATGAAGGAAAATGTCATGGCGGTCAGTTGGATCGGTTTTAGGTTCCTTACAAATTTTTTTACAATTTTATTCTTTTTGACGGATGGAAAAAAATGTTTTAAGAGTCAATACGTTCTCTCGAAGGAAGGAAACTAAAAAAACGGTGCCTAATCCGATTCCTGACGTGCCAAAAATTTTACGCATTTTACAAGTAGAAGAATTCTCTAGCGAGTGATGAATGAACGAAAATTAAAATACTAATAATAATACTTATTCACTCCCACAAAAATTGTTGGGATGTCTTTGCCTGCCGTTCAAACAAAAAAAGAAATTAATCTCATTTTTCATTTCTTGTATACAATTTTCTATATCTACACTCGCTTTAAGATTTTTATCATTGCGTGTAACGTTCTAAGTAAAAGAAAAATTCCCATAAATCTTAAAAAAGTACCGAAAAAAAAGTTGTACTAAAAATATTCAACAAGTAATAAAAAATGTATTTGAATTCATCGAACGTTTCGAGGCAATTGTAAATCGAGAAAAAAATTCGAAATTTAAATTAGTCGATTACTGCAATATTTTGGTTTTTAAGATTATTTTCGTCCGGTTGTAAATTGAATTTTATTAATTGAATAAGAGATGTTTTCTCGACGGAGTTCCGAGCGAGAATGAAGCAGAGCGGGAGCTCCCGCTTCTTAAGTAGCGGACCGAGCGCGCGAGGAGTGGGAGCGAAAGGAGGGACGGCCTCATTGCCGGAGGGAGCCGAGCCGCGGCGAAAGCGCCCGACGAGACTCGAATTCTAGGAAGCGGGTACAGTCGGGCGAGAAATTTTTTCTCTGACTAAAGTAATTTCAATATTTCTCGACGGAATAAAATCACCAACTATTCTAAAATTTGCATAAATGTTTCTTTTATCGGGGAGAACGTTTATTAGTATTTATTCACTATTATTATTAATATAAATATCTATATTATCTATTAAATAATAAAACTATTAAATAAATAATATTTCAATTATTTATGTTAATAATAATATTGACAAAACGATTAATATAAGTAATAGTATTTTTATTATTAGAACACAAAAAATAATTTCAACTAGTCGACTAATTTAGATTTAGAATAAAAAACGAAGCAAACGAGAAAAATCACACCCCTCATTCACTCTCACTGCTGCATCGTAACAAGAAAGTATTAAAAAAAAAATAAAAGAAAAACCGAGCGGACCTGGTGTAGAATATTGATATATGTACTGTGTACACAAAATTTGTAAATTATTATTATTATTATATATTTCAACACCCACACCCCTCCCTTTATTGTCTGAAATGTTGCGTATTTTATAATTTTAATTAAATTCGTACGTATCGAGTACATGCAAATGCATATTATAAATATACATATATAAATATTATATAAAATATACTATATTTATAGTATATATTATATTATACATTATATTTTATTAATAGTATATTATATTACATTATATATTGTATTGTATTATAAAATGCGATATATTACATATATTTTATGTGGTACTTATATTGTCTAGTAAAAATAATTGGCAATCGGATATAGTTTATATCAAATTATGAAGTGTTGATTATTATACATAAAAATATATAATATGAAGAGAGAGAAAAGAAAATATAAAGAGCAAACAAAAAAAATTTTTTTTTTACTTATAGGCGAACTTTCAATAATTTTAAGTTTAAATAAAGAATCATATGTTGGTCTGCAATTTTGCTATTATGAGAAAATTGAAAAATTTCTTGCGGAATACATTATTAATTATAATGCCGTGTAGGTAAATTTTCATGCGAAATTGTAGACCTAAAATCAGATTTGTAAATAAATATATAGCTAGTAACTGTTTAAAAAAAAATTCGCTTTATAAGAAATTATGACGAAAGTTGACGAGACACGAGAGAGAAAGAAAAAAGAAATGAGGCCAGAGCTTTTATAGTATTTTTAGTGTTTTAATTTTTTAGGGCTCTTTTCAAAAATATGTATTTTTTTCTAAAACAATTTTTTAATTTTTATTTTTTCCGCTTTTAAAAAGAAAAAAATTATTTATAATTAAGTTCAAAAGACAAGTTTTAGTAAAAATCTGCTCAGATGGAGTTTGGATTCATTTGATTGGTTACTTCTCAAGGCCAACAGACGGCGATTAGCTGTCGATTTCTGACCTTGAACAGTAACCAATCAAATCTTTCGGTACCTTATGTGGGCGTCTTCTTTTATTTAATGTCACTTTTCACTTCGATTTTACTTATAATTATTATTAGTATTATTATTATTATTATTATCATTATTATTAATATTATTATTATTATTAAAAATTCAAAAATCAAAAGAAAAATTGTTTTTTGCAGCAAAAAAAAAATATATTTTTGTTTTAATTGCCCTGCTATATGCTGCTTTACGTAAAAATTAATATCAAAAGCAAATGCACAATGATCGTGTGTGGAAATAAATAATTTATTTTAATTAAAAATATTAAAAATGAAAATTGGATTCAGTTTTCGGGTACATGTGACAATTAGTGCTATTGTTAAAAGCAGAGAAACAAAGAAAATTACGCAATTCAGTACTTTATTCAATAATAATTAATTTTTTAATTTCATTCGTCAAGTCATTAACAAATTAAATATTTTAATTTATTTTAGAAAAAAGATAAATTAAAATATTCAATTTGTTTAATTACTTAATTAATAATAATTAATTAATGCATTGTTGAAAATAGTTATTTTTGAAAAAATAGTTGACTTTAAAAAAAAAGTTGATGTTAACAAAATTTTAGAAATTATTTACGAGTTTAAATAATTTTATCATTAAATGAAAAATAATTTTTCGGTCATTATTAGTTTGAAAAAAATATATTTTAGTGAATGTTGAAAAAATACGTTATTCTTTAAATGAAAAAAAAATTGAGTCGTTAAATTTAAATTAGTTTATTTTTTAGAAAAGAAAAAATTTAATAAGAGCATAAAAAAAGAGAAGCTTTGACAAATCCAAAAGTAAAAAAAGTATTTAACAATCTCTATATATTTGGTACCCAGATAAAATGCAAAAAAATCAAATCATTGTATTTGTGTGCGTACCTTTATACAATTTTTTTTAAAACATGTTACCTGAGCTCGTAAGCGATGTGTGAGAAGGAAAATAAAAAAACGTTATAATTACGATCATTATGATGCATTAATTATACATTAGAATAAAAATTTTAAAAATAGCCGGTCTAACTCTTCTCCTTTTTACTCTTTTGCTTTTTTTAAATTTCCGGTAAACAATCTATTTGAAATTTTCAGTCTTAAAAAAAAAAAAAAAAAAAAAAAAAAAAAAAAAAAATTTCAAAACTTTTAACAAAAATTCAGTTCTATTTTCCTTAAAGTATAAAAATTGATTCATTTTCCGTAAAAAGAAAAGATTTCTAGATTTATTTTCCGTAAGTGAAAGAAATTTAGATTTTATTTTTACGTAAAGAGAAAAGAATTTTTATTTTTTGAACAAAAAAAAGCAAATTGTTTAAAAATTAATTCTGTTGTTTTTTATAAATAATTTTAATGATTGTTAAAATCAAAAAGAAAATCTATTGCAGAGTAAAAGTAAATAATATATTTAAAAAAATATATATATATTAGGAATAAAAGTAAAATTTAAGAATTTTTTTTTAAACATACGAGTTTTCATGGAATTTTTGAGCGCAATCGTCATGGCAATGTTTTTTCAAAAACACACAGAAAAAAGATTTTGAATTAAAAAAAAATCACTTTTTCTAGGGCTGTGAGACGCGAGCTAAGCAGCGATGAACTTGCTCGAAAAAAAACCTCAATCACATGTGTCAAAAAGTAAAAAAAAAAAAAAAGAAAAAAAAACTATCTTCAAAAAGTACCTATATTCATTATAAATAATCTCCACGTTTTCTTAACCCTTTCGAGATTGATCAATTTAAAAAAAATCAATTTTTCCAAAAATTTTATTTACAAATTTTTCATATTAAAAAAATAAACCAAAATACAATTTTCTTAATTTGAAATATTTTTATGCACAATATTTTTTTCTGTGCTTATTTTCATTTTCTTTTAAATCTTCACAAATATCCTCAAAAGGAGTCTTGAGAAAAAAAACAAACTCGAAAGGGTTATTCAACTCATTAAAAAAATAATGAAATACCGCTTCTTTCGAAAAAAAAGAAATCATTAAACGAAAAAAAAATCGTTTCGATATAAAACTAAAGAAAAAAAAAATAACATTTTTGTTTCTTTGGTTAATATAAAACAAACATTTTTTTTCAATCTTTGAAAGAAATATTAAAAATATAAAAAAACAAAAAAAATGTTACGAATGAAAAAACATAAAACGGATTTTATATATTAACGAAATAAACAAAAATTGTTATATGAAATATTATAAATAATTATATAAATAAAAATTATATACAAAGTATAAATAGAAATATTTGTAGATAAATGAAAAACTTTAGTCATCTACATAGGAAATAGAGTCAATACTGTGAAATACCTATTACCCTATAGAAACAAAAAAAAACTATTAGAGAGAAAAGAACTACTTGTAATTAACTTATAAAAGATGATCTATTATGAAAAAAACATACGGAAATTAACAAAAATAAATAAAAAACTTACCGTAATTGTTTTCTCAAATTTTATTCAACCCCTCCAAGAAAAATTTTTTTATGATTTTATATTTTACTATTATATTATATTATATTATATTATATTATATTATATTATAGTATTATTACTATTACTATTATATTATTATTAATAATATAAATATTTAAATATTTTTATTACATTTAATTTTAGTATATTTCATTATTTTGTTTTAGTATATTATTCATTTTTATTGCTATTATAATTTTTACTAGTTATTATATTTTTATTACTATTTTTAATTTTATTAAGATTCTTATTATTATATTAATTTTTTGTAGAAATTGTAACAATTTGAATTAAATTTAAGTAATTCAAGTAATATTTTAAATGAAATCGTCAGGGGCGCAAAATTTTAGTTACGCTCCTGACCGTACTGCGCACGCGTCGCCCCTCCAAACAGCTTCCCCCACCGTTGTGCACCGGTGGGGTATATAAGCAGGCGACCAGCACTGATCCGGCGCAGAGTTCCTCAGAGTTAAAATAATATTATTTTTAAATTTTTCCAGAAAAATATTTTTAAAAAAAATTTAAAAGATATATAATCTGTCATTGTTAGTCCTTTCTTTTTATTAAAAAAATAATATAATAATATTGATAACTTAATTTAAAATAAAAAAGTAATAATAATACGTAAATGAAAAAATTATAATAATAAAATAATAGTTTTATAATAAATATTTATTATACATTATAGTTAATTTATTATTATATATTTAAATTCTTCAAACTCCTGTAGAATATCTTTCCAGTAATGCTCATGTGAAAAGCGAGAAGTATACTAACAGGGGCTAACACGTCCACAATCATAACACACATTATCTAATTTTTTACCCAACGGAAATATTGACAGAATAAAATTGGAACCTAAAAAAAAATCATAGAAATACGGAAGATTTTTTCCAATTTTAATAAATTAAAAAAAATTTGCAGTTGTGGATCTAAGGGACTGAAATAATTCACTCATAAATTTTTTTTGTTAAAAATTATTTATTTCTGAAACTAAATATTATAGAATTTTATTTTTTTATTTAAATTATTACTAAAATTAATTATATTTCTCTTCAATATTAGTCAATTGAACTGAATTTCTAACGCTTTGTAATCATTATTCTGCAAATTGGTGGAGCAACAGCAAAACCATCAATTCCGTCCATACAAGGTTGGGGTTCACCGGGTGCAAGTTGAAAATGGAATTTTTGCAACAAACACGCTGTAAATAATAGCAAACTATGTTTTGCCAATAATTCTCCTAAGCATCGTCTTTTGCCTGAAATGAAAATTTTTTTTTGGTTAAATTAATAATTCGAACAAAATATTTTAAATAAATAATCCTAAATAAAAATCCTAAAACAAAAATAAATAATAATCTTATATCTAAACAAATAGAAATATAATTATAAAGAGAAGAAAATAATATTTGGCTAAAAAAAATCGTACCTGCTCCAAAAGGCAGAGCCCAAGCGTCATCAACGAATTTTCCATTTTCATCAATAAATCTCTCGGGTCTGAATATTTCTGGATCGCCCCAGTGATTTTTGTCCATATTAACGCTAACTAAACTCGCTAAAATAGCGTAATTTTTTTTTATTTTATAACCAAAAAGTGTTGAATCTTTCAATGCTCGATGTGCTATTGTCGTTGGTCCAATATTTGATATTCGCAAAACTTCCGCTATTGTTGCATTCAGATATGGCAAACTAGAAACAAAATTTTCAAAATTGTATCTGTCTTTCAATTTTTGTTAAAAAACAATAAACATTATGTAATAACATTAAAAATTGTTAATAAAAATATTTTTTTTTTTTTTTTTTTTTTTTTTTTTTTAATAATAATTAATCCTATAATTATAATAAAAATTATTTGTTAAAAAGAGGAATAATTGCTCACTTATTTTTGTATGTTAATGATGGCAACGATTCACGTCCAATGACTTTGTCCAATTCGTTGTGTAATTTTTCTTGAACCTCTTTATTAATTGCAATGAATGTTATTGCAAAACCAAGAGTATTATTTGTTGTTTCAACGCCAGCGGAGAAGAAATCTTTGATTAACGCCAAAAGTTGAAATTCTTTTTTTGCAAAAAAAAAAAAAAACAGAGGAGAAAGAATTATTTTTAGTTTCGTTTAAGTAAATTGTGCCTATGAATAAATTAACGACTACTTGTTAAAAATTAAACAATTGTGAAAATAGTTTTGAAAGGAGAAATTATTTTTCTTTTCTTATGTAATTTTTCTATTTCATTATATAGTTGCAATATATATGTTTGCCAAAAGAAAAATCATCAAACATACTCAATATTTACTCATTTTTGCACAGGTCGCTTATTTAGCAATTATTTTTTCAATTTAAGAAATTATTTTTAGTTTCTAATTTTTTTCTTTTGAATTTTGTCGAATATTATATTTGATATAATATTTTTATAACTATTTATTGTATTATAATGTATTAATAGGTATTTATTATTTATTATTCTATTATGTATTTTTATTTATTATTTATTATTTATCATTTATTAAAAATATAATAAATATTCGTTTATATTTCACATGAAGAAAACGAAATATGTAAAAAGAAAGGAAAAGAAAACAAAAAATTGGAACCGTTACTCGACCGATGATAAATACGAAACAAAAATTCCAGAAAGATTTTTTTTTTTTATAAATGTATAACAGTAAATTTGTTAAAAAAAAATTTGCACTAATATTTTTTTTATTATTTATAAAAAATACTTTTTCATTTTTAACTCGAATTTGACAAATTTTGATTATTCCAAAAATAAGTACCCAATAAATAAATTATTATTATTATTATTATAAATAAATAGTAAATAAATAAAATAAATATTGTTTACTTAAAAGAAAATTTATTTTACCATTAAAAGTTGACGATGAATCCTTTTGTTGTGCTTTTATTTCGTCGAGATAAACGTCAATCAAATCGCGATATGACCCATCGATTTTCGAATTTTTATGCGCGTTTAATTCATCCTGTAAAAAAGAATATTTTTTTAAATATTAAATTCAGAATATTTTTGAATAAATAAAAGGAAACAATGTTTTTCTTTTTGGTGTTTATTGTAAAAAATAAAATTTTAAAAAAAATTACTAAAAAAACATTTTAAAAAGTTGACATTTTATGGAAAATTCTATACCTTGAAAAAATTCCACATTTGAAATTGACGTTTTTTGAGTTCAGTAAATCCGGTAAGACCCGGAATAATAAATCTCAAAAATGGCAAATGATCCAAAATAATTCCGCTCACTGAACTTTTTCTTGTATTTCCGTTTAAATTTTCTAAAGCCTCTTTCACTCTTTGATCATTTTCTTTTAATCTTCAAAAAACAGAAAATATTTACTTTAGAATAATTTAATAAAAAATTAATAATAAATTAATAATAAAAACAATACTAATAATAAAATAATATTATTAATAAAATTAATTAATAAATGAAAAAAAAATTTTAATCAAATTTTCTATAGTGGGATTTAAATAAAAATAGAAATAATAATTTTTTATTGTTACTGTAACAATTGTTGTGTTAATAATAATAATTAGTCACTCACTTTGTTCCAGCTATAAAGCACCATAAATTATTTAAAACAGAGATACTGGAAATTTGACAAAAATATTCAATTATATTTTCGTTTTCAATTCTTTTCTCGATACTCTCGGTCAGGCAGACGGCATTTTCCAAAATTAAATCTTCCATCGATCTTTTGCCAAATCCAAATTCCTTCAAATATTTTAATGAGAATCTAAACAAAAAATTGGTGATTTGTAAAAATTCGAAATTAATTAAATTAATTTTAATTCACAGTAAATGTAAAAATGTAGTTAATTGTTAATAAATAAAATTAATTTGTTTATTATTAGAATTAATTTTGTTAATTAAAAAACTAATCTGATATTTAATCAAATTAATTTTGTAATTTGATAAAATTATAATTAATTTATTATTTAATAAAATTGATTTGTTATTCAATAACATTAATTTGTTATTCAATAAAATCAATTTGTTATTTAATTAAATCAAATTGTTATTTAATTAAATCAATTTGTTATTTAATAAAATTAATTTGTTATTTAATAACATTAATTTGTTTAGTAATAAACTAAATCTGTTTCGTAATATAATTAATTTGTTAATTAATTTGTTGATGGTGAATAATTATGAAAAAAATTAAAATATTAATAAAATTTTCCAAATTAAAAAAATTTTTTTTTTTTTTTTTGTTCCATGCGTTGTTAATAATTGAAAAATGAAAATAAAAACCTTCTATTATCGTCCCACATTTTTCCATCAGTGAAAATAATTCCTCGCCTCTCGCCCATTGTTCGAAAACGATGGGAAAATGTATCGGGCCTACCATCAAATTCGGGACGACTCAGCATTTCTAAAACAGCATCTCGTCCCGAAACTAAAATAATTGGATGACCAATTCCCAATTTTAAGCCAACAATTGGTCCATAAATTGCCGCCAATTTTCTATAAACGTGAGATAAATATTTTGTCTCATTTAAAAGTTTCTTCAAATCAAGAATATTCCCCAAAATTGGTAAGCCCTTTGGTCCTGGAAAATGAAAATCACAAATAAATTAATTGGTAAATTAGTTATTTAATTAGTAAATTAATTATTTAATAAGTAAATTAATTATTTAATTAGTAAATTAATTATTTAATTAGTAAATTAGTTAATTAATTAGCAAATTAGTGATTTATTTAGTAAATTAATAAATTAATTAGTAAATTAGATAATTAATTAACAAATTAGCGATTTAATTAGTAAATTAGTAAACTAATTAACAAATTACTGAACTAATAGCTAAATTAGTGAATTAATTGGAAAATTAAGGAATTATTTAGTAAATTAGTAAATTAATTAACAAATTAGTGCATAAATTAGTAAATTAATTAGTAAAATAATTAAGAAATTAGTGAATTAATTAATAGATTAACTAGTAAATTGATATTTTTTAATTAATAAGTAAACTAATAATAAACTAATTAGTAAATTAGCAAAATGACTAATTAATTAAATAAATAAACAAATAAATGTTTATAAACATTGAACGTAGGAGAGAATAAAAAAAATAATACAAATTTATTTACGAATAATTAATTTTTATAACTAATATTATATTAATTAATATTTTTTCACGTAACGTACCTGGTGGGAATTTTGATCCTTGCAGCCAATCGTAAAAAAGTTTGAAAAGAAAAATGAAGAAACAGCAGAGAAAAAGAAGCCACATTATTAAAAAATTATTTTATTAAATTTTTTAATTTTCACATTGAATTCTTTTATTATTTTAAACTTACAACTATATTTGTTAATTTATTTTATTATATTTGTTTGAATGTAATTATTTTGTTCACTTTTGTTTATTTATTTAATTTGATAATATTTTTTTTTATTTATTTCGTTTTTTATTACTTATTATTATTTTTGTTTTTTATTATTTAATAATTTTCTTATTTCATTTATTTTATATTATTAAATTATTTTGTTTATTTCAATTATTTTATTTCCTCTTGTATTTAAAAAAAAAAAATGATTAAATTCACTTTTTGGAAAAGAAAATGAGAAAATTTTCAACAAATAAAAAAAACACTTGTCGTGTATTCGTGAATCTGCTCCTGATGTGAAGCGTTTCCGAATTAAAACTGCAAAAGTTGATTAGACATTGGAGGCAACGAAAAAAAGTAGAGAGGAGAAAAAAGAAAGAAGAAGAAGAAGGAGAAAAAAAATCATTCCCACCTTTCACTGCAAGCTGAATATTGGTCAAGAGTCGTCATATTAAGGTGATGTTGACCGAGAGTGCATGTGAGTTACACACGAACAACTTTGGGTGATCTTACACACGAATATATATGTTGTATACCAAATTCCATTAAACTATATACATCAAACTCGTAATTCTAAAAGTGAATTATTATCAAACGAGTTTCCCCATATCGTAATCGACTCACGTTTTCGAATCGACTTTTTTCTTCCGTCCACTATATATATGTATATATACGTATATCCTTAACATTCTACGTGCAATTCATTTGCAATTCACTTTCCAATAGGATGAGGTTCATAATTCTCATCTCAAAATTTGTACTTTTTTTTACTTTTCTCAATCAGATTTTTCGTTAATTATTAAAAAAAATTACTAATTTATTATAAGTTTTCAAATTTTAACAATAATTTAATAATTGCAATATTATAATTGACAATTAATTATTAACAATAACAATTAATCACTAACATTAGGAATGAATTATTGCCAATAATTATATTTATTAACAATAGCAAATTAATTATTAATAATCACAATTATTAACTAACAATAACAATTAATTATTAACAATAACAATTAATAACTAACATTAACAATTAATTATTAACAATAACAATAACAAATTATCACTAACAAAAACAATTAATTATTAACAATAGCAATTAATTATTAACAATCACAATTATTCACTAACAATAACAATTATTTATTAACAATAGCAATATCAAATTATCACTAACAATAACAATTAATTGTTTACAACAACAATTAATAAAAATGATTTATTATCATTTATATTATATTATATTATATTATATTATGTATTAAACAAATTAATAAACAATTAATAAATTAATTAGCAGTTAATAAACAAATTAATAAATAATTAATTAATAAAGAACAATGATTAAAAAATTAATAAAAATAAATAGTTAATAAACAATTAAATAACAATTGACAAAAATAACAGTAATAATAATTTATTAAAATTATAATAAGTTGTACAAATTGTAAATATAATTAGTTACTTAATTACAATTATGTTTATAAAAAAATTAGTTATTTTAAATAATTTAATAATTTAATACCCTACTAAATAAATTAAGGAAATTTTTCATTATTTGCAACAAATAGAATTTAATAATTATCTATGGAGAATTTCCTAACGCTTTGTGAGTAGAAGTCTGCAATTCGGTGGAGCTAAAGTCATACCATTGATGCCTGTAAGACAGGGAAGAGGTTCGCCAGGCGCTAAGGAAAAATTGTACTTTTGCAAAAGACTCGCTGTAAATAGGATTAAACTATTTTTTGCAACTGTTCCTCCTATACATCTTCGTCGACCTAAAAAAGAAATTTTTTTCCATTTATCCCCCACAAAAACAATTTAAATAATGGAAAAAATTGATAATTGTCTATTTGTTCAAACAATTGTTTATAAAACAAGATGTATTTTTGTTTATTTATTAATGCAATTTCGAATTTTTCAAAAACAAGAAATTGTTTTTTAAATTTTTGATATATTTTCACTATTTACCGCTAAACATACGTAAAGTTACCACGGTCGGTAATATAGAAATCTATCTTAGAAATTTTGAATAAATTTTGAAAAAACTAGTAGAGGCACTTAGTTCAGACCCAAAATAATCAAATTCTAAAAAAATGGTAAAAATTCCCTGCATTGTTTACGAGAAAAACTGTCGAAAAATCTATAAAGTCCAGTTTTACCTGTTCCAAATGGCATTAGCCACGAATCCTCGACGAATTCACCATTTTCGTTGATAAATCTCTCGGGTCTGAATGTTTCTGGATCACCCCAGTGCTCCTTGTCCATGTGAAGACTCACTAAATTCGCCAAAAGTGTGTAATTTTTTTTTATCTCATAACCAAAGAGTGTGGAATCTTTTAGTGCTCGATGAGGCACTGTTGTTGGCGCGACGTGTGAGATTCTCAATACTTCGGCTATTGTTGCGTTAAGATAAGGCAAACTGTAAAATTGAAAAAAATTATTATTATTATAAGTTTTTATAATTTTTTTCTTGTTTTTCCCCAATTTTTCTATAAAAAATAAAATAACACAAGAAAAAAATGTTTTCGTTAATAAAATCATTTACTTACTTGTTTCGATAAATTAAAGAAGGTCGGGACTCTCTTCCAATGACATTATCAATTTCGTCTTGAATTCGTTTTTGAATTTCTTGTCTACAAGCGATGTACGATACGAAAAATCCAAGGCTATTATTCGTCGTCTCCAAACCAGCGGAGAAAAAATCTTTCGTCAGTGCAAAAAGTTCTAGTTCTAAAATCATAAAATAACTTTTCAACCAAAAATAATTTTATTCAAATAATTAACAAATTAATATTAAAATTAAAAAAAATTACATTACCTAATATTAAAATTTAAAAAAAATTACATTAATTAATATATCAATATTAACATTAATAATTAATAATAAATAATTTACCATCAAAAACAGAAGTGGGATCATTTTTTTTCTTTTCAATTTCTTCGAAATATGCTGTTATCATGTCATTGTGGATATTTTCGTCTTTCATGTCCTTGTGCCTTGCAAGTTCTGCCTAAAAAATAAATTATTAATTGAAAAAATTTTTTTATTGAATTTTTTAATTCATTTATTTTACAAAATTTTTATTTAGTTACCTGGAGGAATCTTTTAATTCCTCTGTGACGTTCTTTTAGGGCATTGTAACCACTAATTTCGGGCATAAAATATCTCAGAAAGGGAAAATGATCGATGAGGCCACCAGACGCACTTGTGTGCCTCGCGAGATTGTACAGCATCTCTACAGCCTCCTGTAATTTTTTATTATCATCCGACAGTCTGCAAAAAGGCAAAAAAAAAATTATTTTCCAAGCAGACAATTTTTCTGTTTTTTAAATTAATTCAATTCGATTCAATTTGAATTCTATTCAATTCTATTCAATTCTATTCAATTCTATTCAATTCTATTCAATTCTATTCAATTCTATTCAATTCTATTCAATTCTATTCAATTCTATTCAATTCTATTCAATTCTATTCAATTCTATTCAATTCTATTCAATTCTATTCAATTCTATTCAATTCTATTCAATTCTATTCAATTCTATTCAATTCAATTCTATTCAATTCTATTCAATTCTATTCAATTCTATTCAATTCTATTCAATTCTATTCAATTCTATTCAATTCAATTCTATTCAATTCAATTCTATTCTATTCAATTCTATTCAATTCTATTCTATTCAATTCTATTCAATTCTATTCAATTCTATTCAATTCTATTCAATTCTATTCAATTCTATTCTATTCAATTCTATTCAATTCTATTCAATTCTATTCAATTCTATTCAATTCTATTCAATTCTATTCAATTCTATTCAATTCTATTCAATTCTATTCAATTCTATTCTATTCAATTCTATTCAATTCTATTCAATTCTATTCAATTCTATTCAATTCTATTCAATTCTATTCAATTCTATTCCATTCTATTCCATTCTATTCAATTCTTTTTGATTTTATTCAATTCAATTTGATTTCTATTGAATTCCATTCAATTTTTTCGATTCTAAACAAAATTTTCAAAAAATAGAAATCTTACAATCTTAGAACCAAAAAAATCTAAACTAATTATTTTTTTAACTTACTTTGTACCACCAATTAGACTCCAAATATTATTCAAAATAGAAGTACTTGAGTATTTGGAAAAATTTTTAATTACACCGTTTGTCGAATTTTTTTCAATTGTATCCATAAGAGAATGTACATTATCCAAAATTAAATCCTCCATTGTACTTCTCTCAAAGCCTAAATCTTTCAAACTTCTTTGGGCGAATCTAAAAAAATGCGAAATTTTCAAATAAAGTAAAAGAAAAAATTTTTTTTTGTTTAACCTTTTATAGTTAAAAATATTTTAAATTATTTTCTTACTTTCGATGATCGCTCCAAACTTTTCCCTCAGTGAAAACCATTCCTCTTCTTTTGCCAAAAGTACGAAAACGAAATGAATAATTATCAGGTCGACCATCAAATTCAGGTCGCGTTAACATTTCGACAATTGCATCTCGTCCCGAAACTAAAATAAATGGCTCGGCAAGTCCCATTTTAAGGCCCACCACGGGTCCATATTTCTCCGTCAATTTTGACATGGCGACGGAAAAAAATTTTGATTCTTTCATCAATTTTTTCATGTCCAACATGTTTCCCAATAATGGCACTCCTCGGGGTCCTAAAGGAAAAAAGGAGTTTTTCTCTCAAAATTTATATAATTATTAACAAATTTCTTCTTTATTGAAAATTTCTTTTTTGCTTAAAAATTCTGACTCTTTGTGGAAAATTGAAAAATTATTTACCTGGTGGAAAATTTGGATCACGTCTCCAGTCGAGTAAAATTTTTAAAATTAATAACGACACAAACAAAATTATGAGAAATAACATTTTTGAAATTTTCTAATATTTTTTTTTTAAAATATTTTCTTTCTTTACTAAATATCTACTACGTTGTGACGTTCAATTGAAACTTGTCGCATTTCTAAGAAACGTTTGAATTTATAAGTAACGAAAAAGATGTTTTCCTGAAAAACTAAAAAAGAGTCTGAAAATGAAAACGGAAAATAAATATTGTCTCTAATGCGGAAACTATTTTGATAATATTGTACGCATGACACACGCCTAGAAGAGTAAAAAAAGATTTCTTTATAACACTTTCCTCATCATATAAAACTAAATCATTTTTTAAAACACATTTTTGAAATTAAAGAATAGTTTTTTTTATTAATAATTTCATAAACTTTGATTTCTGCGACAAAGTAAGTAGTTTAGTAGATTTTTTCATTTCCGACTATAACGAAATAAGATAATAATAATAAACAATAAAAATAATAACAATGGAATATTAATTCCAAAGTTTAATATAATTTTGTAATTAAAACTTTTTGTCATTTTAAAAACAGTGATTACTGTTTTTCAAGGAAATAAATTTTATGTGCCACTCAATTAGAACATGAACCAAAAATTTTTTTGAATGTTTTTCCTTCACGTGTTTTATCCCTGAGAGGAGGAAAATTGATGATTTATATACATGCAGTTGAATGCATTCTCTATTGGGATTCAAATGGAACTGTTGATGATATAATTTTTAATAGTACAACTGTTGATGTTACAATTTTTTATGATACAACTGTTAATAGTACATTTGTGCTGGATGATACAACTGTTGATGATACAATTCTTAATGATACAATTATTGATGATACAATTTTTTGCTGTACAATTGATGATGATACTATTTTTGATGGTACATATGTTGATATACAGCTGTGAATAATACAATTTTTGGTTTTACAACAGTTGATGATAGGATTTTTATTGGTACAACTAGTGATGAAACTACTTATTATAGTACATCTGCTGATGATACAATTGTAGCTGATATTTTTTGATAGCTACTAATGCTACTTGTCCTGTTCATCATCAATCTAATCGTATGTTTACTGATTCAGGGCAATCTAATTATTATAAAGAACCTTATCTAAAAGATAACTTTGCTACAAATGCTACTGCAGATAAATCGAATTGTCATTTAGATTTTAGATAAACTTAAGAATACTCCCGTGTAGAAATTTAACCATGGCCCAAATCGGGGCCAGATCTTATGATCATTGTGTAGGCCATAACATGGCATGAAACACCTTCCCAGATCGGGTCCAAGTCTGACCAAACTTGGGCCCGATCTGGGAAGGTGTTTCATGCCATGTTATGGCCTAGATATGGCAATTTCTACACGGGCTGTTACTTCACTACTTTCGATACTTTACTTCGGTGTTACTTTACAACTATTACTTTCGGTGATACTTCCTTTTTATTATTGGTGCGATGTTGTAGTGAAGATTCTGTGATACTAGATAACGTTTGTAAAGAAGGTAATGTCGTTAATGTTATTGGTCCAGAAAGTAATATAACTGCAAGTGTACTAAAAGAATTAGTTGCTTACAGAGATGATTTGCTGCTGCAGATTCTGTTATGGAGATAATACTGGTAAAGAAGTTGATGTTGTACCTACAGGTGTAGTACCAGTTGAAATTCCCAATGATGATGCTTGCGTTGTTGTAGCTTCTGTTGTAGAAAGAGATGTTGGTCCAGGAGATAAAGGAGTTTTTGTTGTAGTAACTAATGGTATCAATGTTGTTCCTTCAGTTGTCATAGCTGATTCTGTAGTGGTAGTTAAATTGGTCACACATAACTGAATCAAAGGATCAAACAAACGTTTATTGGGACACCTCATTGTCATCCACGACAGTCTTCCACTCTCATCTAAATAGCAGTACCAGTACCATCTCCCATTTTTTCTCTTCTCATTCAAGAACATTCCAGACTTGGAGCAAGGAGCCGAATTTATCGTTCTATACATAAATCCCTCCAGTGATCTCCTGATTCTCAGGTCTCTATTCAAACTATCGGATATTCCTGTAACAAAAGATTACTAATATAAATATATTATTATTATTATTTGCGCTTGTTCAGTATGCTCCATTTTTTAATCATTTTGCGAAACCTACACAACGCCAAAGGATGGAACCAATGCATTTGTGCTTAATTGAGTATTTACTATTATTTCTTCTAAATTTAATAATTCTAATCATCTGAAAATTACCAGAGTTCTGTTAGGGACTGAGCCCTACTCGCTCCTGAAGAATAGAGAATTTTATTTCAATTTTTAAGTAGTAGCAGGTCCACCCGTACGCCATCAGACAAACGAAATTTGGTAAAATCGAAATTAAAAATTTATTTTTTCCAAATTTAATAATTCTAATCGTCTGAAAATTACCAGAGTTCTAGTAGGGACTGAGCCCTACTCGCTCCTGAAGAATAGAGAATTTTATTTCAATTTTTAAGTAGTAGCAGGTCCACCCGTACGCCATCAGACAAACGAAATTTGGTAAAATCGAAATTAAAAATTTATTTTTTCCAAATTTAATAATTCTAATCATCTAAAAATTACCAGAGTTCTAGTAGGGACCGAGCCCCACTAGATTCTAAAGAATAGAGAATTTTAATTCAATTTTTAAGTAGTAGCAGGTCCACCCGTACGCCATCAGACAAACGAAATTTGGTAAAATCGAAATTAAAAATTTATTTTTTCCAAATTTAATAATTCTAATCATCTAAAAATTACCAGAGTTCTAGTAGGGACTGAGCCCTACTCGCTCCTGAAGAAAAGAGAATTTTATTTCAATTTTTAAGTAGTAGCAGGTCCACCCGTACGCCATCAGACAAACGAAATTTGGTAAAATCGAAATTAAAAATTTATTTTTTCCAAATTTAATAATTCTAATCATCTAAAAATTACCAGAGTTCTAGTAGGGACTGAGCCCTACTCGCTCCTGAAGAAAAGAGAATTTTATTTCAATTTTTAAGTAGTAGCAGGTCCACCCGTACGCCATCAGACAAACGAAATTTGGTAAAATCGAAATTAAAAATTTATTTTTTCCAAATTTAATAATTCTAATCATCTAAAAATTACCAGAGTTCTAGTAGGGACTGAGCCCTTCTCGCTCCTGAAGAAAAGAGAATTTTATTTCAATTTTTAAGTAGTAGCAGGTCCACCCGTACGCCATCAGACAAACGAAATTTGGTAAAATCGAAATTAAAAATTTATTTTTTCCAAATTTAATAATTCTAATCATCTGAAAATTACCAGAGTTCTAGTAGGGACCGAGCCCCACTAGATTCTGAAGAATAGAGAATTTTAATTCAATTTTTAAGTAGTAGCAGGTCCACCCGTACGCCATCAGACAAACGAAATTTGGTAAAATCGAAAATAAAAATTTATTTTTTCCAAATTTAATAATTCTAATCGTCTGAAAATTACCAGAGTTCTAGTAGGGTCCGAGCCCCACTAGATTCTAAAGAATAGAGAATTTTATTTCAATTTTTAAGTAGTAGCACCATCACCCGTACGCTATCAGACAAACGAAATTTGGTATAATCGAAATTAAAAATTTATTTTTTCCAAATTTAATAATTCTAATCGTCTGAAAATTACCAGAGTTCTAGTAGGGACCGAGCCCTACTCGCTCCTGAAGAATAGAGAATTTTATTTCAATTTTTAAGTAGTAGCAGGTCCACCCGTACGCCATCAGACAAACGAAATTTGGTAAAATCGAAAATAAAAATTTATTTTTTCCAAATTTAATAATTCTAATCATCTGAAAATTACCAGAGTTCTAGTAGGGACCGAGCCCCACTAGATTCTGAAGAATAGAGAATTTTATTTCAATTTTTAAGTAGTAGCACCATCACCCGTACGCTATCAGACAAACGAAATTTGGTATAATCGAAATTAAAAATTTATTTTTTCCAAATTTAATAATTCTAATCGTCTGAAAATTACCAGAGTTCTAGTAGGGACCGAGCCCTACTCGCTCCTGAAGAATAGAGAATTTTATTTCAATTTTTAAGTAGTAGCAGGTCCACCCGTACGCCATCAGACAAACGAAATTTGGTAAAATCGAAAATAAAAATTTATTTTTTCCTAATTTAATAATTCTAATCATCTGAAAATTACCAGAGTTCTAGTAGGGACCGAGCCCCACTAGATTCTGAAGAATAGAGAATTTTATTTCAATTTTTAAGTAGTAGCAGGTCCACCCGTACGCCATCAGACAAACGAAATTTGGTAAAATCGAAATTAAAAATTTATTTTTTCCAAATTTAATAATTCTAATCATCTGAAAATTACCAGAGTTCTAGTAGGGACCGAGCCCCACTAGATTCTGAAGAATAGAGAATTTTAATTCAATTTTTAAGTAGTAGCAGGTCCACCCGTACGCCATCAGACAAACGAAATTTGGTAAAATCGAAAATAAAAATTTATTTTTTCCAAATTTAATAATTCTAATCGTCTGAAAATTACCAGAGTTCTAGTAGGGTCCGAGCCCCACTAGATTCTAAAGAATAGAGAATTTTAATTTAATTTTTAAGTAGTAGCAGGTCCACCCGTACGCCATCAGACAAACGAAATTTGGTAAAATCGAAAATAAAAATTTATTTTTTCCAAATTTAATAATTCTAATCATCTGAAAATTACCAGAGTTCTAGTAGGGACCGAGCCCCACTAGATTCTGAAGAATAGAGAATTTTATTTCAATTTTTAAGTAGTAGCACCATCACCCGTACGCTATCAGACAAACGAAATTTGGTAAAATCGAAATTAAAAATTTATTTTTTCCAAATTTAATAATTCTAATCATCTGAAAATTACCAGAGTTTTAGTAGGGACCGAGCCCTACTAGATTCTAAAGAATAGAGAATTTTATTTCAATTTTTAAGTAGTAGCACCATCACCCGTACGCCATCAGACAAACGAAATTTAGTAAAATCGAAAATAAAAATTTATTTTTTCCAAATTTAATAATTCTAATCATCTAAAAATTACCAGAGTTCTAGTAGGGACTGAGCCCTACTCGCTCCTGAAGAATAGAGAATTTTATTTAAATTTTTAAGTAGTAGCAGGTCCACCCGTACGCTATCAGACAATAGAAATTTGTGTAAAAATACATTAAAAATTTATTTCTTCCAAATTTAATATTTCTAATCATCTGAAAATTACCTAGTTCTAGTAGGGACCGAGCCCTACTAATTCCTGAAGAATAGAGAATTTTATTTCAATTTTTAAGTAGTAGCAGTCACCACCCGTACGCTATCAGACAATAGAAATTTGTGTAAAAATACATTAAAAATTTATTTCTTCCAAATTTAATATTTCTAATCATCTGAAAATTACCTAGTTCTAGTAGGGACCGAGCCCTACTAAATTCTGAAGAATAGAGAATTTTATTTCAATTTTTAAGTAGTAGCACCATCCACCCGTACGCTATCAGACAATAGAAATTTGTGTAAAATACATTAAAAATTTATTTCTTTCAAATTTAATATTCTAATCATCTGAAAATTACCTTAGTTCTAGTAGGGACCGAGCCCTACTAAATTCCTAAGAATAGAGAATTTTATTTCAATTTTTAAGTAGTAGCACCATCACCCGTACGCTATCAGACAATACGAAATTTGTGTAAAATACATTAAAAATTTATTTCTTCCAAATTTAATATTTCTAATCATCTGAAAATTACCTAGTTCTAGTAGGGACCGAGCCCTACTAAATTCCTGAAGAATAGAGAATTTTATTTCAATTTTTAAGTAGTAGCAGGTCCACCCGTACGCCTATCAGACAATACGAAATTTGTGTAAAATCGAAAATAAAAATTTATTTCTTCCAAATTTAATATTTCTAATCATCTGAAAATTACCTTAGTTCTAGTAGGGACCGAGCCCTACTAATCCTGAAGAATAGAGAATTTTATTTCAATTTTTAAGTAGTAGCACCACCACCCGTACGCTATCAGACAATACGAAATTTGTGTAAAATACATTAAAAATTTATTTCTTTCCAAATTTAATATTTCTAATCATCTGAAAATTACCTTAGTTCTAGTAGGGACCGAGCCCTACTGAATTCTGTAGAATAGAGAATTTTATTTTAATTTTTAAGTAGTAGCACCACCACCGAAACGCTATCAGACAATAGAAATTTGTGTAAAAATACATTAAAAATTTATTTCTTCCAAATTTAATATTTCTAATCATCTGAAAATTACCTTAGTTCTAGTAGGGACCGAGCCCTACTAAATCCTGAAGAATAGAGAATTTTATTTCAATTTTTAAGTAGTAGCAGCCACCACCCGTACGCTATCAGACAATAGAAATTTGTGTAAAAATACATTAAAAATTTATTTCTTCCAAATTTAATATTTCTAATCATCTGAAAATTACCTTAGTTCTAGTAGGGACCGAGCCCTACTAAATCCTGAAGAATAGAGAATTTTATTTCAATTTTTAAGTAGTAGCACCACCACCCGTACGCTATCAGACAATAGAAATTTGTGTATAATCGAAATTAAAAATTTATTTTTTCCAAATTTAATAATTCTAATCGTCTGAAAATTACCAGAGTTCTAGTAGGGACCGAGCCCTACTCGCTCCTGAAGAATAGAGAATTTTATTTCAATTTTTAAGTAGTAGCAGGTCCACCCGTACGCCATCAGACAAACGAAATTTGGTAAAATCGAAAATAAAAATTTATTTTTTCCAAATTTAATAATTCTAATCGTCTGAAAATTACCAGAGTTCTAGTAGGGACCGAGCCCCACTAGATTCTGAAGAATAGAGAATTTTAATTCAATTTTTAAGTAGTAGCAGGTCCACCCGTACGCCATCAGACAAACGAAATTTGGTAAAATCGAAAATAAAAATTTATTTTTTCCAAATTTAATAATTCTAATCGTCTGAAAATTACCAGTGTTCTAGTAGGGTCCGAGCCCCACTAGATTCTGAAGAATAGAGAATTTTATTTTAATTTTTAAGTAGTAGCACCATCACCCGTACGCTATCAGACAAACGAAATTTGG